TTTCCTGAGGGCCTAGGCCTGCAGTAACTCACAGCACACCCAGGAAATCGGCAGGACCGAGGCCCCCACCACCAGCCAAGAAACAGGCAACCATCCGCATACGCGAAGGAACCGTTATGCATATCAAATAGAGGGCAGTCCGGTTTGGACAGCAAAGTTTTGTGTTCCAGATCACAGTGTTTTAGAAAAAAATTGATGACGTGAGACGCACCTGTCTTCACGATTGTTTGCCACATGTTAGTTTCCTGGCGACTCCATGTGTGTCCGAGTGGAACTGCTCCATAGGGTTTTCGTTGTCGATTTGTGATTTAGGAGACCCCATGTGTTACAGGAAAGGAGCCGTGGTGGCACAGCGGTTAAGCACTCGGCTGCTAACTGAAAGGTTGGTGGTTCGAACCCACGAGCTGCTCCACGGAGAAAGATGTACCAGTCTGCTTCTGTAAAGATTACAGCTTTGGAAACCCTATGGGGCAGTTATACTCTGTCCTGTACGGTCACCGTGAGCCGAAATTGGCTCCACAGCTGTGGGTTTGGGTTTTCATGTGTTACAGAGTAGAACTGCTCCCTAGAGTTTTCTTGGCTGTGATCTTTATGGAAGCAGATCAGCAGGCAGGCCTGTGCCACAGTGCCATGGAGTGGGTTCAGAGTGCCAAGCTTTTGGTTACCAGCTGAGTGCAAGCCATTTGTGCCACCTTTCCTTAGGGTTTTCAGTGGTTGATTTGGGGGAAGTAGATCACCAGGCCTTTCTTCAGAGATGCCTCTGGGTGAACTTGAACCTCCAACCTTTTGGTTAGCAGCTGAGTGTGTTAACCACTCACATATATGGGTTCACCCTGAATCAGAATCTATTCAACGGCAACTTTTTTTTCTTTTTTATTAGCTTCCTGGGGCTGCTGTGATGAAGTACTGAAAAGTGGGTGGCTTCAAACGACAGAAACGTTTCGCCTCACAGTTCCGGAGGCTAGAAGTCCAAATTCAGAGTGTCAGCAGGGCCACGCTCTCTCTGAAGGCTCTAGGGGAAGATCCTTCCTCATCTCTCCCAGCTTCTGGTAGCCCCAGGTGTTCCTTAGCTGGCAGTGTGGCGTAACTTCCGTTTCTGCCTCCACCTTCACATGGCCTTCTTCCCTGTCTGTCTGTCTGTGCCTCTTCTCTTTTATAAGGACAGCTCTCATACTGGATTGGAACCCGCTCTATTCCAGCATGACCTCACATTAACGGAGAACGTCTTCAGCGACCCTCCTTCCGCACCAGGTCACGTTCACAGGTAGCAGGGTCAGGACTTCAGCATATCTTTTTGGGGGGCACAGTTCAATCTATAACACATGCTTGTTAAAAAATAGTGCAAAACAGGACCATTAATGCTAGGTGATTTCAGCCACTGTGACTGCTGCTTGAGTAAGGAGGTTCTGTCCCTCCTGAGTGAAGTCAGCTGAGTTTTGACTTTGGAAGATCTGTTTTCCTTGAAGACAGGAGTCTGGTTAGGACTGTTTCCTTTCCATAACTTATTTGTCAAATGGCAAAATAAATTTCCAGAATGAATGAAATGCCTTTCAGAATAAGCAGGTTTCCAAAAGAACAGTCTCATTTGGAGAAATGGGCTTTTAAGAACCAGCCGAATATTAAATAATTCTGTTCCTAGAAGTTGCAGCTTGAGACAATTATGATTCCATAATTCTGCCACTCACACCCACACAGCATGAGATCTAAATATAAATATAAGTCACAGGGAATGAGCAGATGGAAGCAGAGAGGATGGGACATAGAGTGGAGGAGCGAGAAACTGGCCACATTGCCTGTTAAATCTTTTGGGGAGAAATATATGATACATCAATTTTACCTTGTAAGTATTCTCCCAAGATAAGAAAGGAAACTCACCAGATTTTGTTTCTATACCCCAATATAATTCACTGATTAAAAAAAAATTCATTATGGAAAATATATATACATAAAAAATTCACTAATTTTTAGTAAGTAATCATTTAATCATCAGTTTAAACACTCTATCCCCAAAATATGTGTTGTAAATCCTCACCTCTATGCCTGTGGTTGTAATCCTATTTGTCTTTGTTATGTTAATGAGGCAGGATAGGTGTAGAGTGTGTTTTGAATCAATCTCTTACAAAATGTAAATGGAGCAGATTAAGCAAGCAGAGATGGAGGAGCATAGATGCCAAACCACATGGAGATCTCTGAGGAACCAGGAAACAAGCTGAAGGGACAAGGATCTCCCCCCAGAGCTGACAGAGAGAGAAAGCCTTCCCCTAGAGCTGGTGCCCTGACTTTGCATTTCTAGCCTCCTAAACTGTGAAAACAAATCTGTCTTGGAAGAAGTACAGCCAGAATGCTTCTTAACTATGTCGCACATACTTTGGACATGTTATCAGAAGAGATCAGTCCCTGGAGAAGGACATCATGCTTGGTAAAGTAGAAGGTCATTGAAAAAGAGGTGGACTGACACAGTGGCTGCAACAGTGGGCTCAAGCCTAACAATGATGGTGCGGATGGCGCAGGACCAGGCAGTGTTTCGTTCTGTTGTGCACAGGGTCGCTGTGAGTCGGAACCGACTTGGCAGCACCTAACGACAACAACAAACTGAGGAAATAAATGTGTTTGTTGAAGCCGGCCACGTACGGCGTTTCTGTTACAACAGTACCAGACAACCAAGAACAGTCAACGTGTGTAAAAGGAGCCTTGGAGGCGCAATGGCTAAGCGCTCAGCTGCTAACCTGAAAGGTTGGCTGTTCGAACCCACTACCGTTCCTGTATGAAAAGACCTGGCTGTCTGCTCCCGCAAAGATTACAGCCTAGGAGACCCTGTGGGACAGTTCTGCTCTGTCTTGTAGGGTCACTACGAGTTGGAATCGACTTGATGGCACGCAGCAACAACCACGATTTTTGTAAAAGACTTTGAACACAAACATCCTACATAAAGTACCATTGAATTAAAAGCAGTAGTCAGATTTAAATTACCTACAGTTTTTGTTTTGTTTTGTAAAATTTTCTATTTTGGCTTTATCATGGGTAATATGGACTATTTTAATTTTTCTAAGGGAATTTGGTCTCTTTATTCTTCCAGGAAAAACCGGGTTTAAGAACCAAATGTGCAGACTGAATAATTGCCTTTCTTACGGAGTTACTTAGTGGTTTTATTAGAACTTGCCTGTTTTTACGTAGTTTCATGAAGTAAGTTGATTTTCACAGCATTTAGTGCTCACTGTGTGTTTGGTATTGAGTGTGGTCCAGGTCCTGGAAAATGGAATAATGGGAAGTTGTTTATTTACTGCTGAAGACTTTTTTTTCTTTCTTTATTTTTTTTCCCTCCCCAGGCCGGCTTGCCTGGAGAAACTTTACTGCGCTCACTTCAAGCCTCACTTTTTCTTTTCTTTTGAAATTGAGATAGAATACACATCTATCTTAGTTATCTAGCGCTACCGTAACAGAAATACCATAAGTGGGCAACTTTATTTTCTCACAGTTTAGGAGAAATTTATTTTCTCACAGTTTAGGAGGCTAGAAGTCGGAATTCAGGGCTCCAGCTCTAGGGGAAGGCTTTCTCTCTCTGTTGGCTCTGAAAGAATGTCCTTGTCTCTTTTAGCTTCTGCTCCTGGGCGATCTTCACATGGCTTGGCATCTCTCTTCCCCCATCTCTGCTTCTAGCTTGCCTTTAATCTCTTTTATACCTCAAAAGAGATTGACTCCAGATATACGCGATACTAATCTGGTCTCATTCACATAACAAAGACAGCCCATTCCCAAATGGGATTGTAACCACAGACGCAGAGGTTAGGATTTACAACACAGATTTTTTGGGGACACAGTTCAATCCATAACAACATCTCATAAAATTTACCCTTTGAAAGTGTACAATTGAATGGTTTTTCGTATCTTTTACAAGGTTGTACAACCATCACCACTAATTGCAGAATGTTTTCATCACCCTGAAAAGAAACCCCATGCAGTTAGCATTCACTCCCCATTCCTTCCTTCCCCCCTAGGCTCTGGCAACCAGCTACATCTGCCTTCAGTCTATGGACTTGCCTCTTCTGGGTATTTAGTATAAATGGAATCCTATAATGTGTGGCCTTTTGTGCCTTGCTGCTTTCACCCAGGGTGATGTTTTCAAGGTTCATCCGTGTTGTACCATGCTGCTGAGACTTTCTTAAAGTGGTTCCTCTTCGGTGGACCGTGTGAAATCCTTTTGAGGTGAAACCCTTCTCCTGGGACTCAGACCAGGAGAGCCTGACCTCGCGGGCGGGGCTCAGCACACTGGAATCTTGCTAGTTGACCTTTGTCTTCCAGACCATGACTTGGGCGTTTGGATGGAACAGTTCCCTCCCGGTTTTCAGTATTCGAGATGAGAATCAGAGGGTTCTTCTGTACGTCTGCGCGCACACTGTGGTCATCTACGACGTTTTCAGGAACAGTCAGCACCACCTTCAGGTAAGCAGGGCTTCCTTACTGAAAGCACCAGAGATTGTCTTTACCTTGCACGGAGCGTTCTGTTTTGTATTCCAAGGGCTAACTTTCTTATGTCACCATCATACTCTTCTGCCTCTCTTTTGAACGACAGCAAATCCCATCTTTAGAAACAGATTTTATTTTTCATCATCTCTCACCTAATCAGAATAAGTTCACATACAACTGCTATTCTTTTTGTGGTTACAAAAATTTAAAACACCTGTGTTTTTGACATTTCCATAAAAAATGTGGACAGGGTTTTCCTACGATCGATCCTGCTGTTGACACAGAACTATGGTGAGCAGAAACCAAATCCACTGCCATTGAGTCGATTCCAATTCACAGTGACGCTTGTAGAACTGCTCTGTAGGGTTTCCAAGGCTGTAATCTTTATGGAAGCACACTGCTACATCTTTCTCCTGTGGAGCCACTCCACTGGTGGGTTCAAACTACCAACCTTTTGGTTAGCAGCTGAGCGCTTAGCCACTGGGCCACCAGGGCTCCTTATGGTGAACATAAAGGGCAGCTATTCAGCAGGATCCTATGAGTCATAATCGACTAGATGACAGTGGATTTGGTTTGGGTTTGTTCATCAGGGACTCAGAGCTAATGAACACTTACACTCCATCCCAGTTTTCAAGAGGTTTTGATCCTCATAATCTTGCCGAGAAGTAGGTATTGGCATCCCCGTTTTACAGAAGAGTAAGCGGAGGCTCAGAGGGATTTAAGTGACTTGCCCATGATTGCCTTAATAAATGGTGAAGCAGGTCTTGAATTTAGGTCTCCTGACTTGAACTTACGAAGTAGATCCAGGTGTCCTCCTGTCCCTCCCTCCTTTCAGCAGCTTTGCTTACTTTTACCCTTTACCACCCCTTCCCCCCTCGCCTTCCACACTTCCCTGGGCCTGCCCTCCCCACACCCTCCGCTTCTTCCATTCAGCACATTCTGGGCCCCTCTCATCCTCACAGCTGATCTGTCCGAATGTCGTATTTTCTTGGTATCTGCCGCTGCCCTTGTTAGACCGGCCAGCAGTTCCATGCTACCCTTTTCAGCTGACAGGTCCTTTGATGGGGACCTTCCTCAGTCTATGCCTTGCTCAAAAACGTGACAAAATATTTACCAAGAGCTTAGTCAGTACCCAGCATTGGGCCAGGGAACCAAGACACTTGGACACAACTCCAGGAATTTGCTTTCTACAAGAGAGGTCCAGAGAAGTGCCCACAAAACAGTCAGCAGGCAGCTTCCCATGGGGCTTGGTTGAGTGTGCAACACCAAGCACATGGCCACGAAGAGAGGCTCACAGAGGCAGGGAGGGAGGAGCAGGGGGCTGACACAGGGAGGGAGGGAGGAGCAGGGGGCTGACACAGGCAGGGAGGGAGGAGCAGGGGGCTGACACAGGCAGGGAGGGAGGAGCAGGGGGCTGACACAGGGAGGGAGGAGCAGGGGGCTGACACAGGCAGGGA